TTCAGCAGGTGTAGAGACCTCAGTGCTGTGCTTGTGTCTGTGAAACAGTATTCCACAACAGGGTAGATTTTTAATGGACTACAATCAGTGACTCAGTGACCCCTCATAGTCGATCACCCAAGGCGTGTTTGATCTGAAGTTGTTTCTTTGGTCTTGCACTGGAACTATACAGCTAATGTAGCTAACAAATAATAGAAACAGTGAAGATGTTACGTATTTTCTAATAGACATACTTAAGTGGTAGTATGACGTTATCTATAAAAAGGAACAAAAGTGCATTACATACACTCTCCAGAAATATGGTTCTTCAAGGGTTCTTTAGTAAAGACAGTGGTTCTATGGAACCATAGACACTCAAAGAACCATTTGCATGCTTGAACTGTTCTTTGCAATGGTGAAATGGTTCATCAGATTGATGGAGAATGTGTTGTATGTGGTTCTATACAGAACCTTTTTGAAAATGGTTCCATGTGGCACAAAAAGGTTTCTTCTATTGTTATAATGTCAAACGAATAACAATAGAAGAAACCTTTTTGGTGCTATATAGAAGCATTTTCAAAAAATTAAACTAACATCAATCTGAAGAATCATTTCACCATGCAAAGAACGCTTCAAGCATGCAAATGGTTCTTTGAGTGTTCATGGTTCTATATAGAACAATTATCTTTAATGAAGAACCTTTGAGGCACAATCGTTTTTAGTTAAAACTAAAGTAGCAGCCATTTTGAAGCTTGAGTTTTGCCTGTACTTTTGTCCATTTCATGTAGACAATATATTTATTCATAAGCAAAGATTTTTAGGGTATACTGAAGATATAGAGATGCATCTGTGCATTTAAAGACTGTTTACTGTTGTCTTCATGAAAAGTTGCTCTTGAAAAAAATCACTGCTTGAAAGGACGGTGGACCAAATTCTTCATGGTCTTGGTATAGAAAAGCTGAGGAACTGAAGAAGAGTGAAAGCTGGGCGTCAGCCAGCATTTCAGACACATTGAAACAACAGAGAGTCTTGCATGGTATTTGGCAGGATGCAAATACAGTACGTGCTCTGTGAGCGGACTGGCTGATTACACACTAAAGCCTATAGAACTCACACGGCAGTTTTACTTGGTTTATATGCAGTAAATATGTATGTTTATGTGGCTTTGTGTGAAATGGGTTGTGAGATACTCAGCGAAACTGAACATTGTCAGCTGAGTGAACTGTGTGTCAAATAGCTCTAAAATGCTCGTGAATCTAACTGAGCAGAAGAAGCCGTTAGTATGTTGGTGAGTGTGAGTGCTGTCACTCTGAAGTAGCCCTCAGGGTTTAATAACGTGTTAATTTAGCTTTTACTGCTGCATGATTTTTGATTTATTACATACAAAGCTAAAAGCTAAATGGAGCAGAACAAGATATGTTGTTTTCTTGGAGAGACAGACTGGAAGATTCCAGGAAGTTAAAACATATCTGTTCCCTCACTCTCTCTTTCTCTTTCCTTTCTCTCTCTCTCTTCCCTCTGTCTCTCCCCTATCTCTCTCTTTCTCTCCTTACTTGCTTTTTCACTATTTCTTTCTTCGCTCTGTCTCATACTCATTCTCTCCCTCCTCCCTCTCTGTTTCTCTGTGTCCCATCTCTCTCTGTCTGTGTCATCCTGTCTCTCTCTCTCTCTCTCTCTCTCTTCTCTTTCTCTCTCTCTCTCTCACCTTTCTGTTTCTCTCTTCCCCCCTCTCTCTGTCTCTCATCCTATCTTTCTCTCTCTGTCCTCTCTATTCCCCTTCTCTCCCTTTCTGTCTTCTCTCACCCCCTTTCTTTCTCTCTCTTTCCTCTTCCCTTAGCTCTCTCTTTCTCTCTACTCTCTATTTCTCTCTTTCCTCACTCTCTCTCTCTTTCACACTTCTGATGCACATTATGAAGTACTTAAGTCAGCAGCTACTTTAGCTACTTTGGCTGTATTTTCATTATAAACCCTTCATACACACTCACACACACACACCCACACACACACACACACACACACACACACACATACACAAACATACACTCACAAACCTCTTCTGCCTCTTTTCTCTGAATTCACTGGAAAGCAGCTTAATGGGCATTGCAGAGAGAGAGAGAGAAGCTAAACAGGGCTTGTTAATTAAAGCTGGGTCATGTGACTGGTGAGAGAGGCAGTGTTTTTGTTTATGGAGTGCCTCCATTAGCATAAGCGTCTGGCCTGGAGCGGCAAAGAAGGGAGACCTCGGAAAGCAAGAGAGACAGACAGCAGACAGAAAACAGGAATGAAAGCAGTTAGTGAAAGAGTGCAAAGTGGATTCAGTGGAAAGAAAGAGACAGATCGATGAAGAAGGAGAAAAAATAGAGCACGCTTGGGAATGAGAAACAAAATGCCTTTAGATCTCCACATTCTTTCAGATGGAAAAGTCTCATTTAACCATGAAAGAAAAGAAAAAGGACACACAGTGTCATACCAGCATCAGTGACTTTACTGCTTTTACATTCGACAGAGCCAGTTATGAGAGATACCTTCAGTTTAATAGTGAGACCGTTTTTCATGGACTGTCCCAGTTCAAGATTCTACTACTGCTTGACCAATGTGAAAAGGCTGCTTGAAGGCTCAACATACTGATCTAATTTTGCTTCAGAACAGCAAAGAACCAAAAGTTTCCAACCACACTGGAATGTTTCTGACAATTAACCAGAAAGGACTGACCATTAGCCGCTAGCTTAAGTTCAGGCTGATTGTTCTTATAGTCAGCATTTTGTGAGGATCTTGTGGAAAGATCTCTTCAGTAAATGTTTCACCGAATATGAAGACTGACATATACACTCACTGGACACTTTATTAGGAACCCCAATTTACTCCTACTTATTCATGCAATTATGTAATCAGCCAATTGTGTGACATCAGTGCAGTGCATAAAATGCATGCAGATATGAGCCAGCAGGTTCAGGTAATGTTCACATCAATCATCAAAATGGGGAAAAAATCTGATCTTAGTGATTTCAACCATGGTATGACTGTAGGTGCCAGACGGGCTGGTTTGAGTATTTCTATGACTGCTGATCTCTTTGGATTTACACACACAACAGTCTCTAGAGTTACTCAGAACGGTGCAATAAAGAAAAAAACATCCAGTGAGAAGCAGTTCTGCAGACAGAAATGCCTTGTTGATGAGAGAGGTCAGCAGAGAATGGCCTGACTGGTTTGAGCTGACAGAGAGGCTACAGTAACTCAAGTAAACATACTGTACAATGTGGTGAGCAGAAAAGTATCTCAGAACGCACAACACATCAAACCTTGAGGCTGATGGGCTACAACAGCAGAAGACCACATCGGGTTCCACTTCTGTCAGTCAAGAACAGAAAGCTGAGGCTGTAGTGGACACAACTGGACAGTTGAAGACTGGAAAAATGTAACCTGGTCTGATGAATCTCAAGTTCTGCTGAGGCACACTGATGCAGAAAAGGTCAGAATTTAGTGCCAACATCATGAATCCATAGACCCAACAGAGTTCAGGCTGGTGGGGCTGGTGTAATGGTGTGGGGAATGTTTTGTTGGCACACTTGTTAATACCAATCAGTCATGGCTTGAAAGCCACAGCCTATTTGAGTACTGTTGCTGACCATGTGCATCCCTTCATGGCCACAATTCACCCATCTTCTAATGGCTACTTCCAGCATGATAATGCACCATGTCACAAAGCAATGGTTTTCATTTTCATGAAACCAGTTTGAGACCAAACTGGTTTCATGAAAATGGCAATGAGTTCAGTGTTCTTCAGTCGCCTTCCCAGTCAACAGATCTGAATCTAATCTAACACCTTTGGGATGTGGTAGAATGGGAGATTTACAGCGTGAAAGTGCATCTGAAAAATCTGCAGGAATTGCATGATACAATCATGTCACCACAGACCAGAATCTCAAAAGAATCTTTTTGGTGAAACATTTTGTGAAATACATGCCACGAAGAACTCTTTTAAGAGCAAAGGGAGGCCCTACCCAGTATTAGTATAGTGTTTCTAATAAAGTGCTCGCTGAGTGTACATTGTCATGTCTGTTCCATAAAGTACTGACCAGAATTTGTTGTTATTTTCAACATTATAGCAGCATTGTTGTTAGCATCATGGCTAATAGGGCACTGCATAAACAAATGTATTTTGGGGTTGAAAATTAGTCCATATTTGGTTCTACTTGAACTTAAACAGTGCTAGTAAATCAGTTAATGAATTATGTTATTTAATGAATTATAAACTTAACCCAAAACTTAAACCTTAACCTAAGACTAGCCCTGGTCCTAATCCTAATCCCAACACCTATTACTGGGGGCTATCTAAATAAAGTGGAACCAAATGTCACTGTTTCAGTATGCACCTTATGGAAATTTCAATAATAAATAACGTTAAAATGTTCAATATTTAATTTAATAGCCTTTTATAGACTGAGCCTATAATTTATAGTTGCAAAATATAATTTGTAGTTTGATCAGAGTGTGCTTGTGTGCAAAGAATTAGGATCCTCTGTAGCTGTTTATCTTTATAACAGCCATTTTTGGCTTCTGGAGTTCTGTGCTGAGAATAAAAGGTGAATTTCTGACTCATGTTCAAAATCGCTTAGTTGAGAACAAAGAAACAATTCTGACTAGGAGCGATGACAACATTAGCAAAGCCGAGAAAGAAGGAGAACAACTGAAGTATGTGTGCGTGTGTGTGTGCGTGTTAGCACAGAGGCTCTAGTCCATTTTCCTGAGCTAATACCACTGTGTAAACTACACTTGTTTGCCTTTTATTCAACTTTGTACCTTTGTACCAGAGAATGTACAAATGAGTCCACTCTTATTAACAATGTAAATACTGCAGAACTGATGTTCTGTCTGGCCTGTACAAGGATAATCCTGTTGGTCATGTTTTAAAGGCTAATACTCTTTTTCTGGGTCATTTCTTTTTTTGAAACCAGGTATTTGTTTGTAAGTCTATTGTTTTTACTTTACGTAATGAATGCATCTCTCTTGTGTTTTCTCAGGTGTTTCCTACACAACGCTTCAGGGCATGGCACAGGCTGATGATGTTACAGTGGAGGTGTTGAGAAGGAGGCGGTGGCTTGTGTCAGAGCCCCGCCCAATGACCAATAACAGAGCCAGTCAGGAGAGTGCAGAGGATTTACCTGGAGTGCTGGACGACAGTGAGGCAGACAACAGCTCCCAGATAGAGGTGAGCTTTCACCTTTCAGCTACTTTCACCTTGTAGCTCTGATAATCTGTCCGGAAATGCTCAGTTCAATAACAATGTTCCAGCACATCAGTGCACCATGGCTATCCTATCCGTTTCCAATAGGAAGCATCGGTGCTGTCCAACATGGCCACACGGTGCGTGATGGGTCTGACAAGAGGAGTTTGGGGGATGTAGTTTATTAATTTTATGCAAATTGACCCAGCAAATAAGATGCGTGTAGCCCATTAGGAGGCAGTTGGTGTTTGGGTGATTTGTGTCTGCACGTGAATGTGTGAAACATCGGTTCCGCTTTTCAACATTGGTTCTATGACACAAAAGACCTCCGACACAAGCTCATATACTTAAAAACCACTGTTTACCTCAGAAATGTAAAATCCCAGTGGGAAAAGTGATCCGTCGGATGTTAATAAACTAATGATAAATACTACATTGATTTTCCAATTTCCATCACAGACACCCAGTGAGAGCAACAGAATCTGCATGTTCATGTTCTTAAATATTATATATCACCACTATTTTTATTTTTCCACATCATTGGAACATGGCAACTATCCTTTATATTGTGTGAAAATTTCATGATGACTGGACCAAGAGAAATGCTCCAAAATTACTTGGAAAAAACAAATTAACATTTACAGTCGAACTTATAAGTTTACATACATTTAGGTTGAAGTCATTAAAACTCATATATATCCACTCCACAGATTCCATGTCAACAAACTATAGTTTTAGCAAGTTGTTTAGGATATCTACTTTAAAAATGACAATCAATTTTTCCAACAAATGTTTACAAACAGATTATTTCACTTAAATTCACTAAATCAAAATTCTAGTGGATCAGATGTTTACATACAAGTTGACTGTGAAAATGACATCATGACGTTAGAAGCTTCTGATAGGCTACTTGATATCATTTGAGTTATTTGGAGGTGTATCTATGGCAGTATTTTAAGGCCTACTTGTCTCTTTGTTTGACATCATGAAAAAATCAAAAGAAATCAGCCAAGACATCAAAAAAAGAACTGTGGATCTCCTCAAGCCTGGTACATCCTTGGGAGCAATTTCCGAATTCCTGAATATGCAAATTTAACCACCATGGGGCCCCACAGCCATCACACTGTTCAGAAAGGAGACATGTTCTGTCTCCTAGAGATGAATGCAGTTTGGTCAGGTTACTGTTTGCAACTGCATATGGACACAAAGATCTTACGTTTTAGAGAAATGTCCTCTGATGAAACAAAAATAGAACTGTTTGACAATAATGACCATTCTTGTGTATGGAGGAAAAAAGGGGGAGGCTTGCAAGCCAAAGGACACAATCCCAGCTGTGAAGCATGGGGGTGGCAGCATCATGTTGTGGGGGTGCTTTGCTGCAGGAGGGATGGATGCACTTCACAAAATAGGTGGCATTATGAAGAAGAAATGTTATGTGGACATTAAAGCAATGTCTCAAGACATCAGCCAAGAAGTTACAGCCTGGGCGCAAATGGATCTTCCAAATGGACAATAACCCAAAGAATACTTCCAAAGTTGTAGCAAAATGGCATAAGGACAACAAGAGAAAGTAATAGAGTGGACATCCTAAAGCCCTGACCTCAATCCCAAAAGTGTGTGCGAGCAAGGAGGCCTGCAATCCTACACCAGTTCTGTTAGGAGGACCCAGAACTTGACCCAAGTTAAACAATTTGAAGGCCATGCTACCAAATACTAACCACATGTTTGTAAACTTTTGAGCCACTGGGAATGTGATGAAAGAAATAAAGCTGAAATAAATCATTGTCTCTAGTATTATTCTGTCAGTTCACATTCTTAAAATATGGTAGTGTCCCTAACTGACCTAATAGAGGGAATTTGTACTAGGAATAAATGTCACATCAATATATACAGTCAATGATTAAATAGTTCGTAATAATAATAACAATAATTATTGTGTTATTAACATGTTACCTTTGACAGCCTTTGCTATTTCATCGTTTGAAACTAAAACATGTAAAATTGTGAAAAGAAAACCCTGCTATGATTCAGTGTGTTTAGTCTTTTGACTATGCTATGAAGGTTCAAGACATGATAGGTCCATTTATGGTTTTCCATGCTGTTGCATTTCATTGGCTGATTATTCAAATCAGCTGTGTTAGAGCAAGGACGAGCACTTCTGCAGCCTTCCAGGACTAGATTTATGCACTCTGATTTATTCAGTGTATGAAGAACCAAGTCTGCTTTGCAGGGTGTCTAATAATCAAAACAATGGCTGCTGAATGGCAAACGTTCATTTGGTCTGATTTGGTGTGCTTGTTTGAAGCCTGGCTGTGGCTGTGTTCCTCGTCCTGGGGCGATATGCTATTGACTGGTGGAGCAGCAGAAGGAGGAGAGAGAGAGGCTGTGGGAAGATGAGAGAAAAGCAGAAGCATATTAGCTGCGTAGACAGATGTGCCTGTGTGTCTCATCTGGATAGATGAGAAGAAGCAAGTGCGGTGGGCACAGATCAGCTATTGCCTCCTTATAACAAAAAAACATCACAAACCTGTCATGCTCATCATGCGACCAGATCCAGTGACAAACTAAGGTTGTTAGTGCTAGGCCTTTCAGTTTGGGCCTTAATGTCAAAACATGATCAGAAAAACACCTCTACAATAATGCTCATTTCTGCTAGCACCTCTATGGGATTCTAGTAGTATGTTAGCACAAACCTAAGAGCAATTCACATGAACATTTTTGGCACAGCTAGCTACCACTCATATTCACGGTCAATCATGTATTTAGGCCCTTGGTCACCAACCCACTTCTGGAGATTTACCTTCCTGTATGTTTCACCTCCAACCCAAATGGAAGACATCTGAAGGCAATCATTGGATGAATCAGGTGAGGGCAATTAGGGTTAGAGCTATAGTCTGTAGAAAGGTAGATCTCCAGGAGCAGCGTAGTTGACCACTGATCTAGGACTTCCAGAAGGTCCACAGTGATATTTTGTCTTACCAAATTGGCCCCACCTATTGTAATTCAAAATGTAGGTTGATCCCTCTGTCACTTCCTAATTATGTTGGTGGTTAATCTGACACATGAGGCCTTCAGCTCCTGAAGTCCTAACCAATGGGACAGGTAGCATAGCTATATCTAGATACGTAGACAGCAGAGCCAGTTTAAAGGAGAGCCTGGCCACTTCCTATTCTTCTCATTGTAAAAAATGATGTCAAAATGCTAGAGGGCACAAGGAACTCCTCAATGAAAGGGGATGAAATGGAGCTAAATGGCAAAAAAACAGAAAAATGAACTTATTTCTAGCCATTTATGCATGAATTTACTTTAGATTTGCAATGTAGAAGCATTTATTCCATTAAAAAAAACAATGGAAACCAGTATCTTAGCATTTTTCTACAGCAAGAAGGTTTTGGGCAGTAGGGTGCTAGCATTAGTGCTGATTGTGCTGTTCTTTATTGAGAAAAAAAGAGTATTTATCTGTATAAAAATCATTAGGCATTTTGCAAACTAAGATTTTGCACAAAAGCTCCTAAGAAACCCATTAATTTGTGACTTGCTAGGGGGCTTACTGAGGCGCAGGTGGTCTGGGCCTCTGCTCAGCATGCGGCCAGATCCAATGACGAACTAGTGAGGAGCAAGAATGTTCTTTCACCTGAAATTGTGTGCATGTACATGGGCAGAAACAGAGCTTTCTGTCTGAGCAGGAGGTAACCCGGGCATGCTGGTGTGTGAGACATGAAGGTGAAAGAGGAAAGCACTGAACAGAATTGAATTTGTGTGTGTGTGAGTAAGACTTTGACTTTGGCCTTGTTGTTTGTAATAAAGACCTTTTAGGACTCTTGTAAACTTCCTCTACTTCACACACACACTGTTGTTGTGTTTCATCTTTTTGCTACACACTCACTTCTCTGCTGCTGGCTGCTTGATTGAATGGTTTGTCTCTGAAACCAACAAGTGCCCACCGCTGTGTTGTGGTTTAGAGGCACACAATAGAAACCACATCACCTTTGAACACGTAGGGAAGCTGATATACTGCAGAACAGAACACACTCACTCACACTGAGATGCCTGAGTATATGACTTTTGAAACAACAAGAACACAATGCTCTTAGATACACTAGATGCTGACTATAAAATGGACAGTTTAAACAGGTTTTAAAGTCTGATTGGCTGAGGGGTTTAAAAATCAGTTGGATTCTGTATTAATGCAACAAGCTATTAAAACATTGTACTGGTCATGAAATAATCTTTGCTCATTTTGTTGCTTGACAACCAAAGCTTACTGCTAATGACCGTCATCATTTCACAGAAGAATTGTCTCTCTCACAAACGCACATTCCTACTGAGTTGGGATGTTGAAGGCCAACACACACTGTTTTTGAACTGCTGCTAATGCAATGTCATGTGGACAGCTCAACGCACTTCTGTTGGTTAGCTAACAGATGCCTATGCTGGCTAGCATCACGCTGAGTGATGGGGGTAGACAGTCATCCTACTCACCCAGTGAGAGCAAGGACAGTTAGCCTATGGACAGCTGAGGCATCTTTATAGGGTCAACAATAAGACAGTTGTGCCAGTTGGGAACCCTACATTGGTATATTTTATTTGACTGTATTTTGCCTCCCTTTTAGAGGAGCAATAAGCCATTCGAGGCTGTTTATTACAGTAATTTTATGCCTAACATCACAATAACTATAGCAAAACACACAACCTCTCAGGATTTATTGCTTTAGTGACCTTTTGCAGGGAGATCACTAACACTTACTCATTAGACACATTTTCTGGAACAGTAATAATTGGACATAGTATAGTACCATATAATGGCCCCTATCCTTGTGAAGTGTCTAGTTCTGCATGGAACAAATGCATTCAATGTACTTAATTTAAATGTCTGCATCAGGGGTGCACAACTCCAGTCCTGCAGGGCCAGTGTCCATTTACATCTGTTTACACTCACCTGTTGATTGCCAGGTTTACTGTGCTGGACACCAGCCCTCCAGTAC